CTTTGGAATTGGACAACATCGAGATTTATCTATGGAGCGACTCATCGGTAGCCATCACCTGGATCAACGGGGACCCTGCCCGTTGGAAGGATTTCATACAGAACAGCGTTCTTACGATACGAGATACCCTGCCCTCTGCAACTTGGAGACACATCAATGGGAAGGAGAATCCGGCGGACTGCGCATCAAGGGGTCTCACCCCGAAACAACTGGCGGAGCACCATCTATGGTGGANATGCAAGACACATCAGCCCTGACACCAGGACACTTCATCATAGGAGAAGCGCTCACGACAATTCCAGAGCCTTCACTTCAGCAGATCAACACAGCAAGACTGAACAGATGGCAAATCATCTCCCAAAGGCTTCAGAATTTCTGGGAACACTGGGACAAGAGTGCATTCATCGTTACCAGCAAATCTATCGGTGGAAGTAGCCAACGAACGAAGTAAAAATCGGTTCATTGGTCCTCATCATTGACGAGCGGGAGCCACCAGCCAAGTGGCCTNTCGTAGCACCATCTATGGTGGACAGGGCCATCATGACTTGTCCTGCCACCAGACCAATGGCTAGCATCATCAATGGACCTAGCATCATCAACAGAGGTATCATCAGAAGCGGCACAGGAAGCGAGGCCGCCCATCATCAGCTCACATCCAGTGCAGANTTCAGAATTTCTGGGAACACTGGGACAAGAGTGCATTCATCGTTACCAGCAAATCTATCGGTGGAAGTAGCCAACGAACGAAGTAAAAATCGGTTCATTGGTCCTCATCATTGACGAGCGGGAGCCACCAGCCAAGTGGCCTCTGGCTCGAGTCATCGCAATTCATCCGGGACAAGACAACCTGACCAGAATTGTCACACTGAGGAAAGGCAACCAGGAGACTCACAGGTCCATCCACAGGCTGGTGCCTTTGCCGATCAACGACGACCTTTTGGANTACAATTGGAACCAGACGAACTCGAAGAGGCGAGACTGTTTTGGGTCAGATACACGCAGCAGCTCTACTTCGAGGCAGAAGTTAACACGCTGAGGGACGGAAACCCCTTAGCGACCAATCATCGTATGGCAACGTTGACGCCATACCTGGATAACGACATCATGCGATTGGGCGGACGTCTAAGACGATCAACATTGGATCCGGAGGAGAAGAATCCAATCATTCTTCCCCGTCACTCGCCATTATCATCGCTCATCATCGCGGAGGCTCATCAACGGAGCTTCCATGGAGGAACTCAACTAACTTTGGCACACATCAGACANTCGAATTTTGCTCGCTCGGCAACCTTCGGGCATCGACGAACACGCACGAGGACGATCGTGCATGTCGTATCTTTTAGTACGCTATCGAACTTCATCGAGTGAAAGTGCCGAAAAATTATCGTACCTATTATCAGACAATATCGAATATCATCTTTTTTTGTTAATTCGTATACAGTCCACTCGGAAATCATCTATTTATTAAANGCATCGCGGAGGCTCATCAGCGGAACTTCCATGGAGGAACTCAACTAACTTTGGCACACATCAGACAGAGGTACTGGATCATCGGGGGACGAGCTCCAGTACGCTCCCACATCATCAAATGCGTAATTTGCGNAACCCGTAAACCCGAACCTCACTTTTCCTTCCGACCACCCGGCTCATCAAATCGTGATTGATTTCTAACATGTACTATATACCATTTTTAACCAGTCACATATGAAGTCGATGCGTGGTATCGCCTCATGAGAATGTGAACGCTTATTGTCAAAATTTATTATTTTCAAATTTATGAAGAATCACTTGATCAGGTCAACAAAATTGGAAACGGGGAAACTGCAGCTTCAATGAGATACCGGTTCTATAATTTTCCATTCATTAGAATTAATCAAATTCGAGTCGTATTAAATACACACTACGCTTGGTAACAGAAGGATCTTGTCCGTGAGGAGTTAATAAATCCCGGGGACATCTTTGAGAGTTATATTTTTTGGTTCCGGTGGAAATCATCCGAAGTATATATTCACAAAAATGTTTATCAATATTGTTTAAATGATTACTTTGTCGTTGATAAGTATTTTTTCGCCATCATCTTTACTTGGAATGAGAATATTTTATGGAAACAACCAAAGTAAATGATTATTAAAGAAAAAAAATTGCTCGCGGTTTGCTTCGAACCGCGGTGTGTAGTATATTCAGAGTCAGGAAAAAATTGAATATTATTCTTTTTTTTGGTTTTCTGAATACTTTGAGCAGTACTGTCAAATGTCATAAGATTTGTCGTATTACCTCGGTCATCGTCGTTGTCCTCACCCTCAGAAGTTTTGGCGAAATGTTGTAATTGAAGAATATTGAGCAACTATTATTTCAGTTCTTGATGGTATTTAATTATTTTCAATAATTCCATTATATTTTATAGTATATTTACGTAACAGAGGGACCTCTCCTTTGTAACATAGTAGTAAACAGGGTTGGGTAAGTAAAATACCAACAGGATTTTACCAAGCTTTCTACATGTGAAAAAGGTAGTAATTTACCAAGGTCCTTGTGAGGTATGACCGTTGCGATGTTTGACCCTCACTAGGCATGATCCTTGCGAGATATGTCCCTCATGACGTTTGACTCTTTGCCAGGTATGACCCTCGTGACGCTGGGCGTTTGCAAGGTATGCAACGTATAACCCTCGTGAAATTCAGTCATGAAGGTTACTATACAGATAATCTAGCTAAGAGGTGTTCTGCCAGCTATTCACCTTTTTAACCATTTAGAGATAAATTACCAGTATTCTACTATGTACCGTAGAAAACTCTGATTTTCAGTGAACGCCCCAACTCTGGGAGTAAATGTAATTGTTTCGGCGAGAGTTAAACAAACCGATGGAGAGCCGGGATTCGGGAAAGGGTTGAGAAGTTCACCAAAAAAATAAATGTCACTGTGCGCGTAGGTAGAGTCACAATAAAAGTTTATATTTATCATAACATATACACAAAGTCAAAGAAATGTCCGCGTCACAATGATAATTAACCGTTGACAGTTAATTTAGAATGAGTTAGAGAGCTTGCACGGTGGAGATGTTCACAATAGTTCACGATGTAATCGCGGAGAGAATGGCACGATGCACACTTGTCATGAGGCGATTAGAGAAGAAGGCGGAAGTGACGAGATGGGACAAGTGTCACGGCAGGTGCCGTCGGTCCGAATTAATTGGACATGGTCGGTAACCCAGGTCCGTGTCCAGGAGGTGCTACCGCTCGTGGTCAGCGGACCAACCTGCCGTGACGTGAGGCTGAAGCCTCAACATTCTCCCCCCGTCAGTAACTTGTTGGTGACCAGGTTCTCGAGAAAGCCATGATAGAGCCTGAAACACTAAACAGAGAAGATCAACAATGTCAACAGAGACCAGCTTCAAAATCAGCTGGTAGAGATTGGCAACGGAACAAGCTTAGAGATCGGCCGAGTTAATGTCGTCGTTGCTATCCTGATAGTCACAACTCTGGAGAGACCATCCTTCCCAGGGTGTAGAGCTGTGACCCGAGCTAGAGGCCACTTCGCTGGCGGGAACCTCTCATCGGAGAGCAGAACCACAGAGCCGATGCGAATGTCGTTGGTCGGATGATGCCACTTGGAGATGGACTGAAGTCGCTGCAGGTATCCTGTAGACCACTGCTTCCAGAAATACTGCAGCCTCTGCTGAATCAGTTGCCATCTTGAGAGCCGTCCAACGTTGAGATGGTCCAGGGAAGTTTCCGGTAGAGCTATTGGAACTTCTCCAATCAAAAAATGCCGAAGAGTGAGACACAACACGTCGAGAGTTCCTCGAACGTCAGTGTAGTATCCCGAATCATTTGAGAGAGATGATACTTCACTGATTTTACCGCTGCTTCCCGTTTTCCTCCAAAATGAGGGGCCCCAGGTGGATTGAAAGACCACCGAGTACCGTCTTGCAGGCAAACTGCTGTGAGATGCTGAAACTCCTTTGATCCAGCGGAGAACAACCTCTTCAGCTCCTTGTCTGCACCAACGAAATTCGTTCCACAATCACTGAAGAGGTTCCTGCAACGACCTCGACGACTCACGAATCTCCGATAGGCAGCAATGAACCCATCAGCAGAGTAGTCGGTGGCAGCTTCCAGATGAAGTGCTGACGTGGCCATGCAAACGAAGATCACTAACCAACCCTTTTGGGTTTTATAACAACACCCCTTCCACGTCTTGATGGACACTGGTCCAGCGTAATCTACATCAGTGTTAGAGAAGGCACGTCCTGGAGACAGACGTGCCGGTGGAAGCTGCCCCATCAGTTGCTGAGCACGTACTCTACGTTGGCGGGCACATTCCACGCACTTGAGAATGAACGATCTTACTGGCGCTCTTTCTCCAATAATCCAGTAAAACCTCCTGAGATGCGTCAACGTGAGTTGAGTCCCACTATGCAACGTTCGCTGATGAGAGTCCCTACTGAGAAGTTCAGCCAGCTCGGAATCTTTGGGAACGATCGCTTGTTGTTTACTCTCTGGGTGCAGGTTAGAGAACTTCAATCTTCCGCCCACTCGGAGAACACCTTGATGGTCCATGAAGGCAGTCAGTTTGGTCAACGGATGAGACCTCCCAAGTTGTTGACCATGATAGATAATGCTGCACTCCGACTGCAGATAATGAGCCTGAGCGGCTCTGACCCAATACAGCCTAGCTGCCTGGCATCAAGACTGAGTGGATCCACGAGAGTTTCACCTGGTTTCCTCCTCATCTGAGCAACAACACGTTAACAAATTGCTGTTATGCGCAGCAATTTGTAGAGAGAGGAGTACTTGATGATGAAATCCCAGAGAGTAGAGCCCATGGAAACGGTAAATATGGATGCGGGCTTCTCTTCCAGATTCGCTGACGGATCCAGTTTGGCATTCTCTTTTGGCCACTGAGAGGAGTCCAACTGCAGCCACTTTGGACCCATCCACCACAGCTTATGAGCACTGAGTTGAGCTACAGTGATGCCCCGAGAAGCACAAGCAACAGGATGCTCCTTACCGCTGATGTATCGCCACTTCGCTCCTGGAACCAGTTCCTGTATACTGGCTACCCTGTTATGCACATATTCCTTCCACCGGGAGGGATGAGAGCTGATCCACGCCAGGGTAACAGCTGAGTCTGCCCACAGGAACACAGGACAGAGGAACACAGGACACTTGATACGCTCACCTGCTTCTGCAGGAGCGTTATCAAGGTTGAATTGAACACGCACATACCTTGTGAGTTTCGCAAGCATGACTGCGGGGTTGAGCTCAAGTCTCGGGATGGTGAGTTGCTTGAGAGGAGCCTTGGTTTTAGCAGTAGCTAAAGGGACACTCACACCATCCGAACTTGTCATCTTCAAATATACCACCGCAGCCATCGTTGTTTGCGATGCGTCTGAGAACCCGCATATTTCCACCAGAGCATCCTTCTTCACTCCGAGCCAACGAAGAATGGAGATATTTTCAACCTGAGACAGCTCCTTACGGAATTGGGTTCACTTATCCGAGATTTGTGGTGAGAGCGCATCATCCCAGTCCAGCTTCTCAACTCAGAGACGCTGTAGGAGTGCCTTTGCCCTAATCACCACAGGAGAAAGCAGTCCCAGAGGGTTGACCAACTGAGCTATCTCAGACAACATATTCCTCTTCGTCACCTTTGAGGTGGCCGGAAGGTGGATTGAGAACTTGAATTGGTCTGTGTTTGGATCCCACTTCAGACCAAGAATCTTCGTGATGGCATCCTCTGCAGCTTATGATCCTGAGAGACACCTTCTGGATTCAGAGATCTGAGTAGAGACGGACTATTGCTATGCCACTTTGCTAGAGGGAAACCATCAGCTAAGCAAAGATCCCTCACTGGCTTGGAGACTTCCAGAAAATCACTCTCCTCTTCAGCACCACCACAGATGTCATCCACGTATCTTCCACTGGTCAACGGAGAGATTGCTAGAGAAAAACGATGTCCTTCGTCTGCGACCAGTTGGTTGAGAACTCTGCAGGCTAAGAATGGGGCCGATTTAGTCCTGTAGGTCGCGGTGGTGAGCTGGTAGGTGTTGATCTGACCTTGAGAATCTTGCCACAGAACCTGTTGAAGAGGCCAGTCCTCACGATGCACCTTGATTTGACGGAACATCTTCGTGATGTCCGTCATGAAAATGTACTTGCTCCGCCTGGATGAGAGCAGCACGTCAGAGATATTCTTCTGCAGTTTGGCTCCAGTGTGTTGGATGTCATTGAGAGACACCCCTGAGCTGGTCTTACTAGAGCCGTTGAAGACTACCCTCAGCTTCGTTGTTTCACTACTTTCCCTGAGAACACCATGATGAGGAANAATGTCATTGAGAGACACCCCTAAGCTGGTCTTACTAGAACCGTTGAAGACTACCCTCAGCTTCGTTGTTTCACTACTTTCCCTGAGAACACCATGATGAGGAAAGTAGTACATAGGAGTTGACGAATGAGCTTGCCTCTGAGCAGAACACCGAGTGGAGACACGAGCTGACTGCTTCTCCTCAGGGACCCTCAACCCTCCTGAAGCTGAAGCCCCATGTGCCAAGGTCATCCCCTCGGATCGACAGCCGAACTTCAAGCTCCCGGCATTCCCCGAACCAGTTAAGGCTGGAACACGCACCATGTGTCCCAGATCTTCGTACTCCTTGAGAAAAACACTATATAGCTGAAGTGTCTGTTGATCCCTCTCCATTTTCCGGAACAGGCTGGAGAGACACGCTTTAGCCCGACCATAAGAGTCGCCAAGCTCTGTCGGAGAACGTGCAAGAGGCAGGCGAATCACATAGCGCCCTGAACTGTTTCGTGAATGGGTGCACTGGAAAAACTCCTCACATTCTGCCTCTTCTTTCGTGAGATCACTATCTTCGGCTTTTGGGACCTCCTCCTGCAGCCAGAACGACGTGAGAAGGTCGTAGAGTTCCTCGTTGCTGACTGCAATGTGATTAGAGCTGGCCACAATTGGAATCACTGCTGAAATAGGTCCTAGTACCACCCAACCGAAGATAGTGTGCATTGCTATAGGGGAGTCTGAAGGTCTCTTGATGATCTGCGGCTCCACAATTGATCCGAAGAAATCCGCGCCAATGAGAAGGTCAATAGGACTTGGCTCCATGTAATCCGGATCAGCTAACTTCAGGCCCTCGCGATGGTCCCAAGCTTGAGTATCCGAGACTGAGAATGACGGCAACGATGATGTGAGATGGTCAAGAATGTAGGTCTTAATCTGAAGATGTTTGTCTGAGTGCAGAGACTTCAGACAGGACTGAGAGAATTTCTTTGAGAATGACCTTAATCCACCAATAACAACGACAGGTAGCAAAGCTGGAGACTTCAACAACCCTAGCTTTACCGCACGACTATCTGTAACAAATGATAACTCAGATCCAGGATCCAACAGCATCCGAACTTCACAGCAACATCCATTCTATGAAACGAGAGAAGCTAGCGCTGTTGCGAGAAGAACACCTGGTTTGAGTTGAGATGACGATTCATGAACTGATAATGCTACAGATGGAGAATCACTTGACAGCGACAGCCGTAGAGAACGTTCTGAAGTTACCGAAGCCGCTGTCGATAAAGTCGTTGGTTGAGAAGATCACTGCTGCACTGATGCAGGCCCCGGAACAGCGGACTGTATAGGACGAGTACCAGACTGAGACCACTGACCTTGAGACTTCAACTGGTCTGGTTGAGATGTCTGCAGAGGACCATTCTGAGGACGTGTGATGTGGATCATCGAGTGGTGACGCTTGTGACACACAACGCACGTCTTCGTGGTCCCACAGGCACGAATAGAGTGCTTCCCCAAGCAGTTGAAGCAGAGGTACTTCTTGTCGACGCACTCCTTCCTCTTTTCTGGCGACAACTGCTTGAATTTGGGGCACTTATCAATGAAATGCTCATCTTCACACATGGAGCAGGCATTGGCGGTCATGTCTGCCCATGACTGCGAACTCGACCCGCGAGCCTGTGGACCTGCACTGCCAGTTGAGACATTCAGCACCTTTGCTGGCTTTGCTCTGGGTGGTTGAGAGGACACACTCGAAGTTGGCGTCTTGGGAGCATGCAGAGGATTCAGCTCAATTCTCTCCCTAGGTCTTGCTCTGCTCAACATGAACTCCCTGAGTTCCGCGTACGTTGGAAAGGTGGTGGTGGATCCGTTCTTAACTTCCCACAGCTCCGACGTCTTAACATCCAACCGGCTTGAGATCATATGCACCAAGACGTCGTCCCAGTGCTCGACAGGGCGTCCCAACGACTTCGGGGCGTTGAAAGCTTCGGTGGTGGAGTTGAAGAGAGCATTAAACTCCTTGGCCGTACGGTTGACGATCCTCGGAGTGGAGAACAATCTTTCCTGCTGGGTAGAAATGAGACGTTCATTGTCATACCTCGCGATAAGCATATCCCAGGCTGGAATGAATGAGTCTTGAGCTACCGGCAGAGTTGAGATCAACTGCTTTGGCTCGCCAGCAAGAGAAGTCAAGAGATAATGGAATTTCTCGATCGTAGAGAGGTTATTGTTGCCGACGACCATCGAGAGGAAAAGATCTTTGAAGGGTGTCCCCTGAGAAGGTAGGCAGCGAGATCTTCGGTAACTGTCTTTGAGTCATCTGAGCAGATGGAACTGATGCAGCGGGTCGACGAAACGACTCCGAGAGGTCCGCGGTCTCATTAATGGCCTTGATTAGCCCAATGAACAACGTACGAGCCGTGGAGTACCGCTGCAAACAGATATCGTATACCCCCTGCTTCACGTAATCGTGCTCGAGCACCTCCGCGCTATCGTTCCCAGTGAGCAGCCTCGCGTGCTGCTCCTCGATCTGGCTCCAGTAATTCTCCAGAATATCCAGCTTCTACTGCAACTCCGTGACTGAGAGCTCCTTCACCGCCGCTAACGATGATTCCATGTAGAGAGACTCAATAAACTTTGCCCTACTGGCTTGAATAAATAATCTCCCTGCGAAAGACAAGCTCACCCGATAGCAAATACAAATTCAGCAAGCAGAGAGAGCACCAAAAAAAACCGTGGAGAACGCAACAGTGGAGAAAAGCACAGCCAATAGCGAACAAAAAAAAATTGAAATCAAGCGAAAGCACCAGCGATGTTCAGGGAAAATGAATAGAGGAAAATAATAAAAATAATTGACTTCCCTGTGAGAAGGTCTAATGGCAGCAGTGATGAGCGGAGGACTTCAGCAGGCAACGAGAAGGACGAGAGATCTGCTCCTGAAGTGCTGGAGAAATATGTCACGGAGCCCCAGGTTGAGTGACACTGACGGATTTGCAATTTTTAGTGGTGCGCACAAATGTCAATAGTCCGAGATGAACACCACTGCAGTGCTACGTCACGAAGGAGGAGCCGCGTGGGAGGAGTCGATGGGCGGAGTCGGTGGGTGGAGTAAAGGGGGTGAAGCCGACACACAGATTCCCGCGCTTTTCACCGACACCACGCGCACTGATGTTTTACTGAAAAACAATGTTCACTTTTCCCGATGATCCGGCTCGAAGGACCAAATGTTTCGGCGAGAGTGAAACAAAAAAAAACCGATGGAGAGCCGGGATTCGGGAAAGGGTTGAGAAGTTCACCAAAAAAATAAAGGTCACTGTGCGCGTGGGTAGAGTCACAATAAAAGTCTATATTTATCATAACATATACACAAAGTCAAAAAAATGTCCGCGTCACAATGATAATTAACCGTTGACAGTTAATTTAGAATGAGTTAGAGAGCTTGCACGGTGAAGATGTTCACAATAATTCACGATGTAATCGCGAAGAGAATGGCACGATGCACACTTATCACGAGGCGATTAGAGAAGAAGGCGGAAGTGACGAGATGGGACTTGTCGCGGCAGGTGCCGTCGGTCCGAATTAATTGGACACGGTCGGTAATCCATGTCCGTGTCCAGGAGGTGCTGCCGCTCGTGGTCAGCGGACCAACCTGCCGTGACGTGAGGCTGAAGCCTCAACAGTAATTATCCAGGTCAATCCATTCATGCCACATCTAGTATTCAAAACCATCTTCAGACTGGTTTGTTAATAATTGGTATAACCTTAGAATTCGAATATCTTCGAAGATACTATGTACTACTTTGATGCAAAAACGTATAAGGTTTGGAGTCTTAAGTTCACTATTGCTGTGGTCCTTTCTTATTATAGCAATCATTCTTGTTTTTTATAAATTTCAACGGATATAAGGTATTCCTTCTTCAAATCCCTCGTACCTTCTCATGACAATAAAATAAAAATAATTTCATCTGGATAACTTTCATTTTGAAGAATTAAAATGCTTTTCTCTCAATGAGGTAACGAAATTCTTGAAGGAACCAATAGTTACTGGTGAAGAATTTAATCCTCACCAACTATTGGCGCGACCCAGGACTTAAGACGAGGACGTAGTTGGTGGAGACTCTCAAAAAAAACATTAAAAACATTATTAATTACGTAAAATCATTTTTTCTTCTCGTATACCCTATCAGGTCTTTATGATTTGTTCTCTTCCCACTCCCCCCCCCAACCCCCTGTACTGCATTCGCCGAAGAACAAGGGAAAGCCACATTTAAGGGAAAAACCTGCCCAGGTACAGTCGTCTCTTGCGAGACTCCCGCTCGACAACGAAACCGTGAGATTTAGAGTGTCACAAATTTTGCCCCCCCCCCAGCCGGGAATCGAACCCGAGTCTCCCGCATGCCAATCCCACACAGCCACCGCCGCCCATTATTCATTACGTATATTCGAATTCAATCGATGGGCCTGTGGTTTTGGTGTATTATTGATTACCAAACGCTTTTACAATTACCCTCTGCCTTCAGAATTGATGAATGTTCATATGTCCCTGCTAACTACCATTTACCATAGAGCGTTCTTTAAAAAGTGTCGGCAGAGTTTCTAGAGGTCATGAAACGTGTAGAAATCATGACATTCCTATAATCGATTTTCGGGTTCATTAGAATAACTTCCTCTCTTCAGTTCGGATAGTGAAACCGTTCGTGATAGTGAAACCATGGAACACAAGTTTCCTGAATTATTTGTTTAATAAAAAATTCTTCGAACGTTGTTTCATAACATATTATTTCTTTTGTAATTGCAATTGACTCGAAAAGAATTGAAAGAAAAATATGCAATAATTATCAGGGTATACTGGACCAAAGTGAATATCGGAAAATTTCATTCTAATAGTGTTGTGAGTCCAACGGGCAAAATCAGTACAGTGATTATCAATTAGACTTATAAACTCTCAAAGCATCTAAACCTTCAGAAATTTTATTTTCAAGCGAGGAGGGGGTTGAATGAAAATACCTTTATCATGATCAGGACTTGATCCAACATGTAACGCCTTTGACCAAACCGGATTTGATTAGGGTGAATTGATTAGAACTTGATCAAGCCAAACGCACACGAAGCCGATGACGTATCCATCGGTATCAACAATAATTATCCACAATGATTAAGTCAAAACAGACTGGTGATACTCTATGTATCCGCCCCCCCTTGCACGCCATTTGGTATTAAAAAGTCGAGTCTAGAAGAAGGGTTATTAAAATTGAGATTAGGTGAATCGGATCCAAATCACATCAAACTGTGTTCAGGTAGCCTGATCTTAGGATGAGGTCATGCCTATCTACTCTACATCATTGCAACCGGACGAAGGTCAGTCTTAGATCAGGCCCACCTAATACAACTTTGATCAGAGTTATTGCCGGTGGAGGGCTTAATTCAAGGTTGGGTCCAACTCATCAGAAACCGATCAGAATGATTGCAAGCAAACTGACTTCTCGTTCGAGATCGGGCTCACGTAATTCAAATTTGATCAGAGCAATTATAGGCGGACTGCTTATTTTGACATCAGGCCGACCAAATGCGAATCTGATCAAATCAATTGCAGGCGGACGGACTTCAGTTTAAGATCGGGCCCACCTGATCTCAGCTTCATCGGAGTGATTACAGGCGGACGTTTTTCAGGATGGAATCAGCTTTGCCGGATCAGAACTTGATCAGATTATTACGGATCAGATCGACTAAATCAAGAATTGATCAGTTTTTTATCAACTACCATGTTATATACAAAATTGCTGATGTGTTTTTTTTCATATTTTCTCGTTTAATCCATCGTCTAAACGTCGACCTCGACGCGGTGAGGCCTAGTGTCAGCGGATTCTTCTCCAGTACAACGAAAAATCTGTACACGGATTTGCACGGGTACTCGGGAATAATGATGCTAGCAACTTTAACGGACACACCCCAACAAAGATTGCCCGGGACAGTCAGTCCTCGATTCACTGAGAACGGATCAAGATACAATTTTGGCTCCTACGTTATACTATTACACTCCCCTACGCCGAATTAGTTTCTTACCGAAATAGGCTTAACCGGTCGGTAAACCGTTCGGAGTGTTTTACATAGATGTTTCGCAGTAAAAACTTAATCTATTCCGCGGCAATTACGTACGCCTTCGTAGCCGCCTGTTGGAACGTATCATACTCTCGTGTCACTGGTTGGATTCAACTTCAACTTATCATCGTTATATTAGGTGTGATTCAATTTTTACAAGTTTTTCTTCAAGCTTAAAATTATATTTAAAATAGAAATATATTCGCGGTCTTTTCTGGTTTTGAAAGGATCGGATAAAAGGTTTCTGAACACGGAACGACAAGTATATGTAAATTATATAATCTTTCAGAATAGCAGAGCTTACGATGGCAACTGATAAACAGCACATTCGGCACTGCATTTTATATGAATTTCAAAAAGGAAAAAATGCTTCTGAAGCACGGAATCAATGTGTTTTGTTCTTGGAGCCGACCTTGTATCTTATGAAACGTGTAATTATTGGTACAAACGTTTTAGAAGTGGTGATTTCGATCTGAGTGAGCAGCCGCGTCCTGGACAGCCTCGAAAGTTTACAGATGCGGAATTGCAAGCTCTACTGGATGAAGACTCAATGCAAACGCAACAAGAGCTTGCAGCTCAGTTAGGCGTTGCCCGAACAGCTATTTCTGAGCGTTTGCACCAAATGGGAAAAATCCAAAAACTTGGAAGGTGGGTCCCACATGTTCTGACCGAACACAACCTAGGTCAACGTATGAACACGTACCTTTCACTGCTTGCCCAGCAACAAAAAAAGGACTTCTTGTGGAGAATTGTGACGGGTGATGAAAAATATATTTTTCACGAGAATCCCAAACGTAAAAAGTCGTGGGTAGATCCTGGACAATCCAGTACATCGACGCCGAAACAGAACATCCACTTAAAGAAGATTCTCCTGTGTGTCTGGTGGGACATGAAAGGTGTGCTTTATGACGAACTCCTGGAAACAGGTAAGACGGTGACTGCGGAACGCTGCGGCCGACAACTGAACAAACGAAGCGAAGAACTTGATCGAAAAAGCCCATTTACTGGGCAAGGAAGCAGGCAAGTCATACTGCTGCATGAGAATGCTCGACCTCACGTTGCTCGTGCGACTCGGAAGATCCTCTTAAACTTGCGACGGGAAGGTCTTCCGCACGCGGCATATTCACCAGACCTGGCCCCATCCG